AAGATGCAAACATGAAAAGACACAAGAAGTACAAAATATAACACAAAAAGTTCAACTTTACGGCGAAGTTAACAACAGCTATTAATACCGGTGCGCTACACCAAAAAGCTCCGGTATGTTCGGTATAAAAGAAGGAACATTTGATATGATAGGGGACTTGGTTTTTGACTTTTTGAAGCAAGTACTCTGGCTCATTCGGCCTTCTGGTAAATTTTACCAAGGACTTAAATTTTCACTTATACAAAGACAAGTACACTGGCCTATTTGGTCTTCTGGCACATTTTGCCAAAACCTGGCTCCTTCAGCCAAATGTAGTTAGAAATTATCCTTGTCATATGTTTTACTTTTGAATTTTTTTTGTTTTAACCTGGCTCATTCGGCCAAATGATTATTTTCCACAGCACAGAGTAACCGGTTTTTTTTACAACAGAGGAGGGGAACCCATGACATCACGCTGTCCTGCCAGGGGTCTTTTAAGAAAACAAACCGAAGCTAAAAGTAAAAAAAAACCTCGTCAACGAGTAATACAGTGAGCAAAAAACGTAAATCTACATTAAGGTCATAGTCACCCACAGCAGTAATAATTTCTGTGTGCCCGTCGTCAACGGTGATGCACATTTTTTTCCCTTTAATTATTAAACAAAATGAATACTTTAATTAAATTATAATTTATCATATGCTGAATAGCTTATTCAGCAATTATTTAATTACACTTTGTTATAATAAATTTCTTTTATGAAGTAAATAAAATATATAATTGATATATATAATCAAAGTTATTTTCTTCTAAAACTACGTCTCAGCAAAAATATAAATATATTGCCTCGATTTTGGACGACGGCTGAGGATACCCAGCAAAAACTAAAGATTTTTGAACGTCACCCAAAAGTGTCGTTACAACACTTATTGTGTAGACATGTAGCACCATCTACAGGTGTATTCTTTTTATATGAATGTTGTGTTTCCTAATCATTCAAAACACCTTCCTATTCTCGATAATAAAATTCAACACGTAATTTCTTAATAGTATGTGTTCATTTTATTTAATTATTGTTATAATGCATAAACTCAACTCTTAAATTTTAGTGGAATTACACATATAATAATATTGCAATTTTACGGTTTTCCGTATGTTTTATTATATAATGTCCTTTTAATTTTAATACAATTCTTAACGTTTATTCACTTTACTTTCTTGATTATATATATATTTACAGATTTCATTACAATATTTAATTCGTATTATAGTTGTATTAAATATATTAAAAACTTCTACTGTAAAACTTCTACTTTAGAAGGAATTATTCACGGTCTTTTTATTTCTCGTTTTTTACTGTTCGCTTCAATCGCTTATTCCCAACTGCTACTGCTACCACGAAGTTCTTTCAAGATCTCCCTCAACCGCACACGTTGTTCGAAAAAGCTCGTCAGAATCGACCGGTTTATCTCCTGCGCCTCTCTTACATGCGCGCTCTCCATTTTCTGCCGGTCGACCTGACTCTGATGACACCCTATTGAAGGTGCATCCACAACACCCCTTCCCCCTTGCGGAGGAGCCTTAATGCTCTTGAACGAAAAAGGAAACCCTGGGTTGTCGATCGGTATTGTGCGGCTCCGTGTAGCGGTGTTATTCCGGGAATGTTGACAGTGGCAGTGAATGCTCAAGCGGTATAATTTATTTATAATTAATTTTTTTTTTTTTAACTACATATAGATTATATAACTAATTAACTATCTTACACCTTAATCTTAAGTATTAATAAAATATATATGTGAATCTTATTTTATATAACTATCTTAATATCTTAAATACAATTTTAAATTACAACTTCGTCTTTTTGTTTTTTATAATTATGAAAAAAAATAAAAATTAAATTACACCTTAATCTTAAGTATTAATAAAATATATATATGAATCCTATTTCATATAACTACCTTAATATCTTTAATACAATTTTAAATTATAACTTCATCTTTTTGTTTTTTGTAATTATAAAAAAAAAATAAAAATTAAATTACACTTTAATCTTAAGTATTAATAAAATATATATGTGAATCCTATTTTATATAACTACCTTAATATCTTAAATACAATTCTTAATTACAACTCCATCTTTTGTTTTTTATAATTATAAAAAAAAAATAAAAATTAAATTACACTTTAATCTTAAGTATTAATAAAATATATATGCGTATGTATACTGGATTACATAACTAATTTACTATATTAACTACAATTTAAAATGCATAATATAATTAATAATATAATTAAACGTTTCCAAAGCTATTTACCCATTGAATGCTCATACAAGACCTACCTTTTACATCTGATTCGCAGATGTTCCTTACTATATACGGTTTGCTACGGTACCTCGAACACCCTTTACCAGATTCTTATGGAACCATTTGTTTTTCCCTTTGACTAGCAACTGCACGTTAACTGGTTCACGAACCCGTATCACTCGGTATGGTCCCTCCCAAACAGGGGAAAATTTATTTTTCTTTTGTTGGTTTCTTAACCAGACCATATCCCCCACTTGGAACAGCCTCTCCTTGGTTCCCTGGTCATAATATTCTTTAGATCTCTGTTTCGCTGCCATAGTTTGAGTCCTAGCTAGCTCATGGGTCCGCTGTATTTGATATTTTAAAATTTGAGAGTAGTCGTCAATATTATACAATGGAGAGGGTTTCCTTTTTAATGAGACTGGCATCTCAAAAATCAAATCCGAAAAGAATTCTTGTGGGCGTTTGTCTGGTAGCTGAGACATGCATGGCGTGATGGAGCCATTCATCCCAATTCGTTCCATTCTCTGCTACAAAGCTCCTCAGAAATTCTGCGAGGAGTCTGTGACTTCTCTCCAAAGATCCATTGGCCTGCGGGTGGTATGGCGTTGTAAACAATTTCTTAGTGCCCAATAATTTGCATGTTGCCCTAAACATTTTGGAGGTAAAATTCGCCTCGTTATCCGTCACTAATGTACGGGGAATTTGGAACCGTGAGACGATTTCATTAAAATATGCCCTAGCCACTGTCTCTGCTTCTGCGTTTGGCAGCGTTACACAGCACATATATTTGGAGAAGTCATCT